CTGAAGGCGAAAGGGGGTCAAACACCATATTCCTAATAATCCTTTAGGTGAGTGTATGTTTAATGAAAATAATATTGTGTGTGTATATATACATTCCTTTAAAATTATTTTCAGCCTGTCAGATTACTGTTTATGGAAGCTTTATTATGTACTACTTTATGGTTGTCGCACACGATTTTTGAAGTGTTTATTGCACAGGACTTTATTAAGTGGTTTAAATTTTGGGGGTATTATTATGTTCTTCAAACATAAAGGGCTGAATTCTCATAGAGTGACACAATGCTACACTAGGCTAGTATTGATTTTGGGGAGGGCAGTGCAACTTAGTGCAGGTCACAAGCTTCTACTCGCTGCCTTGTAATTCCTTAGCTGGTATTTTTGTGGCATTCAGACAGTGTAAAATGTGATATTTTAATTCTTCCATGCCGACATGGACTTATAGTTAGTTCCTCGATGCAGGGCAGCTGGACATATCGTGAGGGAAAAGTCTGATGTGGCCTCAAAATGTTGATCCAGGAGAGGGTTTTCTGAATCTCAAAGCAGTCTTAGAAGCAAGTGGCTACAGGCTAATAGGAAAAATCTTCTGAAGAGTTCGTTGGAATACTGTAATACTTTTTTTTTAATTCTGGATTTGGATCAGTAATTGTAATCAGTGATATATAACAAATAGCTTAGAATTGAATGAGCATGGCAGTGGAAAACGTGATGCAAGTGAAATTTATCTCATAAAAAAACTAGACAAAATCGTTTAAGCTAAGAGCCATGTTTACTGACAGAGTCTTGCTCATTGCCTTTTTCTCATGGCCTCCTCGTTTGAGGAGGTTGTATGCTGTGGACGAGGTGAGTTGATAAGCTCAGAGCTCTATTTTATTTCTTCAGAGGTTCATTGTACATCACCCAACTCTGTAATGTTGGCTGCTGGAGAATAAACAGATACTGAAGGGATAAACAACATAGATAATCTAAAGAAAAATCTTATAAGAAATAAGACTTTAGACTAAGATACATATGATTACACAAAGGGACTTTGATCTCAAGATCATTTCAAAATGACCCAAAATAGTTGTGGTGGAGATGAAGTACAACTTCTCCAAAAACCTTCTAACTGAACCTGCTGTACGGTTAGTAAGTGTGGTTCATGTATTACAGGGACTGACTCATCTCGGATCTCATTATAATTTTTTTTCTGGAATGTTTGTGTTTTCATTATGTTCAGGTCACCCTCCACCCCAAGACCATGACTTTCTTTTTAGGTATTTTTAGAATAACTGCTGTTTAGTTGTACATAGTTCAGGTACTGTTAGATACATATATTTGGGATCTGTTTATAGAACTAATAGAGCCAGTGTTTGATAGTTGGAAATCTAGCGAGGTCATTCATCTTTTTGACTTGAAACCAAGTTTCACTTTTTATAACATATTTTACTGTAGTTCCTGTTTATTCATCTGTTGTAGTTGTTATCATTCCGGCTGTTACATTCCTTCATGATGTAATTCATCTACAGAGGTTGTGTCATGCCTCACCCATTTCCTCCAACTATAATCAGGACCATCCAATTAGTGTTATTGCTGCATTACATGTAGCTGCAAAAGCAAAGCTCCTGCACACACACATATGGATGTTCTGGTCAGTATCTAAATGAAGCTCAGTGTTTATTGCATCTGTGCAGCTTTAACAGCATTTGTTAATGTCTCCAGTGTGACATTGCTCCTTTTCCTCAGGAGAGATCAAGAGGAGGACTGCAAAGATAAAAACATACCCCATATATGGGAGACTGATGGCTTAGAAGGAGAGACCATCTTCTCTTTCGCTGACATCAAGCCCACGTAATCTCCGCATTACTACACGTTTCGCATGCTTGAGAACGTCTGCTCAGCAGTTTTAGCTTGCTTTTAATGAACTGTCTCTCCCTGTGCCTCTCAGTGAAGAAGAAGCTGAAGAATACAGGGCTCTCAGATCTAAAAGTATGTTAAAGTCACTTCCTTTCACAATCTCTTTTAGCCTTATTATGTTTGTCTTGATTACCTGTATTATCCTCAGTGGTTTTACCCTCCTGTCTCCTGTTCTCCAGGGCCCTCAGCAAGGACTTATAAGCACCCCTATGTGGTGTTCAGATGGCGACAGTTTTGGTTCGCCCCGATCACGACTTTCCTCGGCAATGTGCTCATGTACTTCCTTTTCCTCTTCCTCTTTGCCTATGTGTTACTGATTGACTTCAAGCCTCCCCCTTCCCAAGGCCCCACCACAACGGAGTTAGTGCTGTACTTCTGGGTCTTTACTCTAGTTTGTGAAGAAATCCGACAGGTATGATGGTACCTGATTGGGTGGGGGGGGGGGTTGTGTCATTTCTTTGAACCCTCACAGTGATGCCGAGGATAGTGATGTGTAGCGTAGTGTCTAAGTCATTCATAAGAAGCTTTTCAAACCTCGTTCAGGCGTCAAACCGTAGTAACCAGACATTCCTTCCCATTGTCAGAGCTTCTTTATTGCCAGTACCTCTGTGTCGCAGAGGATAAGGCTCTACATTCAGGATGTGTGGAACAAGTGTGACCTCACAGCCATCTCTCTCTTCATCATTGCGCTGATCTGCAGGTATCATCACATCATCACTAAATCACTAAATATCTATTCAATTCAATATTTTGGCCAACCAATTAAGGATGGCGGTGTTATATGTTGACTTTTGCCTGATCATTGTTTCAGGATGTTTGAGACGTCCTACGAATGTGGTCGGGCGGTTCTGTCCCTCGATTTCTTGGTCTTCACGCTGAGGCTCATCCATATCTTTGAAATCCATAAGCAGATGGGACCCAAGATTATTATTGTGGGCAAGATGGTAAGGAATGGGGATGTGGAAAAAAAAAAAGAATGCCGTCAGAGGCAACATCTATTCAAAGTCTCAGACCAAATAAGGAGCAGGTCTCACAATACATACTTGAATAGCTCCAAGAGAGGTAGCCAATCATAGCCATCCCAGATACCACTTGGCTTGTAGCTGCAGATTTCTGTAACACTGCAAAAGTTCTACAGAGCAACAGTGCAAAGTGACATTTGTGATGTATATCATTTTGTAAGTATTAAAAATATAAATAAAAATAATTTTGAATTTGCCCATCATTATCACTTTATTAGACACAGTTGACCACCAGGCATGTGAAGGGTGGGGCCTGGGTACCTGCCCATTTTGCCCAAATAATTACAAGTGCCCCCCTTTTGAGGTTCTCAATGTCCCTTTTTGATAACCATTGATCACATAAAAACTGACAGACAATCTTCCCTAAGCCACCCTGCCTTTTATTCTTCTGCCCCTTGAAAGGTCTGTGCGCAGCCCTGTAGCCAGACTGTATGCTGGGTAACTCCTCACAGCGGTTTTGTTCTTTATTGCTTTGGATGTGCTCAGTGCATTAACTTGAATGCATAGTTACGCTTTCACTCAGCCTCTAGTAAATAATAAAGCTGGTATTAGTGATGTAATAGGTCATTAATAATATGCTTCTACTCTCACCCTTTCTCTCAGATGAAGGATGTCTTCTTTTTCCTTTTCTTCTTGCTGGTGTGGCTTATGGCGTATGGAGTAGCCAATCAGGCGCTGCTGTACTCCTATGACCACCGCCCAGACTGGATCCTGCGTCGCATTTTCTACAGACCATATTTGCATATATTTGGACAAATCCCGTTAGAGGAGCTAGACGGTATTGCATCTTTTATATGTGTTTATTAGCAAAAACCCACTTTGATACTCCTTTAAAATGGAAAATAGAACTATAAATTATGGATTAATATTATTGTTATTTTTCACATGTGCTTTATGTGACCGGAGTTTTTATTTATGTAATTGTATACTTAAAGTGTATAAATGTAAACAAAAATGTAGAAGATTGTCCTCCACCTGATATTAATTGTTTAAAAGGTGTTTTTGTCTATTGTCAGCCACAAAGATGGGAAAGATGAACTGTACAAACAATGTGACCCTCATCCATGCTGGGTTTGAGCCCTGCATGGACACCTATGCCAACTGGCTGGTTATTGTGCTGCTAGTGGTATACCTGCTGGTCACTAACATCCTCCTGATCAACCTGCTGATCGCCATGTTCAGGTACGCTGCTGGTCCTCTGCTAGCTGCTCACTTGGTTTGGCACTTGTAGCACATCTCAGGTCACATCTCTGCTATCTTTATTCATGTGCTCCTTTCTGGGTAAAGATTGGTGAACTTCATTTTACTAATGGAAGAAAATAACCCTGTGTGATGTTTACTGCTATCAGCGCTTTGGAATCAGATTAGACCCAATTATCAAACAAGAAAAATACCCCACTAACTGGGACATTTTGGGGTACCTCCACAAAGTAGCTGCAATTTTTATGTGTAGGCAAAATACAGCAATGTATTTTCTTGTTACTTCCACTACTGAAAAGAAGCAAGAATTATGGTTTGATGGAGAAAATCTCCTAAATTGGGGTATGGCATCTGACATTAAAGGTACTTTAATTCTGAGATAATGTTTTAAAAGCAAGAATTGCCTCTATTAAGGAATTAGGTGTAAATCCTAAAGGGCTCTTAAACACTAATAAGAAAAGCTGAAAAACTTGGTTAAAGTGTGTGCGTACGTCAGCGTGAAACATCAAACTGAGACTTTCCCTCTTCATTGGCTGAGAAAAGACCTGCTTAATATTATAAGGGTGAGTTCCTCATCACATTTCATAGCGTTGAATTACTAGAAATTTGCCACTTTGGTCAGTACCTTCCACAATGCTGTATTAATTCAAGCATTCAAGGGTTTATTTGTCAAATGCAAGGTATACAGTCTGACTGTACCCTGCAGTGAAATGCAAGGTGGTCAACTCCACCATGATAATAAATATTTAATAAATAAGGAACAGTAAGGTTATACTGAAAAGAAAGCAAAAAAAAATAATACATAGATATGCAACGTAGCTCTAATAAAGTGCACGGTACATGAGTAAGGAGCGAATGTTAAATTACTCCTGTCTCCAAGCTTACTTGGAGGCACAAATAATGTAGCAGTATAGTCTTACTTAATGTGTTAATGAACCAGTAACTAAGTGTTAGTTACATATTGGTCCCATTTTCCTTCATGGGTTAATCTGTCATAATGGATCATGTATTTCATGCAGGAACTATATTAGTTCATGGATTGTTCTTTAGTAGTAGCTGAGTAACTAAGATATTTGTGCCCCTTCCAGTAAAGTGTTTGGGTTTCCTCCTTTCTGCCACCCAAGATCATGCAGTTAGGTGCATGGGTGTCTCTGAATTGCACAGTGTTTGTGTGCCCTGCATTGGATAGGTACCTCATTTGGGATGTTTCCCTTGCTCTGCGTTTACGGGGTCAGACTAACTCTGAATTGAAAAATTGGTGGAAGATGGGTGTACGAATTTGAAAGACTTGGTGAATTTAGACTGGTGATGGTAATTATCTTAATTCCCTCATTCAAGGGTGGATTCTCTATTGCTCATTTACCTGTCACTGGTGCCTCTGACACAGCACACTGACAGAACTGCAGGTGCAGCTCATGTCGCGTTTATTTCTGCCTTGATGTCTTTTTCTCTGCTTGTAGTCACACATTCACCAAGGTTCAGGACAACAGCGACATCTACTGGAAGTTCCAGCGCTACAGGCTGATCGAGGAATACCACTCAAGACCCTCTCTGGCACCTCCGTTCATCATCCTCTCTCACCTGCACCTCTTCATCAAGAGGAATATCCGCCGGGTTCCCTCAATGAAAGTCCTGGACTTTGGTGAGAAACAAAGGAAAGCTTAAATGAGTGAGGCTCAGATATTAGCCTCTTTATTGGAACAACAATAGCATCCACGTTAACTAATAAAGCAGATTAGTGGTAGCAAGAGGCAGTATTACATCATACCTCCTGGGACAGTGGTGCAGAATAGACAGTGAAAAGAGATGAATGATTTATATAAAAAAGAATATGGACAGTAGAGAGTTTGTGTGTGGTTTTGAGAGCCTGGCTTGTGTAAGCTAAGGCTTAAGACCTGAGCTGGTCTCCTCGCCTTCCCACACTCAGCACTGGAGCTGGACGACAAGAAGTTCAACAAGCTGGTGACCTGGGAGTCCATTCAGAAGGAGGGCTTCCTGGTCGCCCAGAACAAGAAACAGAGAGAAAGTGATTCTGAGAGGCTCAAGCGCACCTCCGCCAAGTAACGCTCCTCTTTAATACTACTGTTCTGGTCCACCTGCACTCTCGCTTGCCCAAGTATGGTTTTTGCTGATTCTGGGTCATGGATGAGGGAGCAAGAAATTTGGTGTCATCTGCCAATCACTGGTTAGAGAGGAGGGCGTCAGAGTGACTACGGCGTGGGATGAAATCATTTCTAAATTGTAGTTGTAGTCTGAGGGTGGTGTGTGGTTCAGTGGCTTAGCACGCTTGTCCTTGTGATCGGAAGGTCGCCAATTTGAATCCTGTGGCTGGCAGAGTGATGTCACCATTAAGCCTCTCAGAAAGGCCCTTAACCCCCAGTTGCTCCAGAAACCGGCTGACTCTGCTTTTATATATTTAAATATACATATATTTTAATCTGAATAAAACAACTGTAAGTGAGCCCTTGCATTTCTATATTTGTTTCAGAAATATCTTCATACAGTAGTCCTAAAAATTGTACTCTGGTGTGACATTAATGCCAGTATTTAATTCAGAGACGAACAAACAAGACATACTTTATCATTATCAATTTTTCTATTTACATAGCAGCAACAATAGTACCTTATTGAATTTCATTAAAATTTCAAAATGCAGTTCTTTTATTACAAGCAAAAACTGAAGAAGAAACACTTGAAACGCAGCCTTCCCAGTACTCCCAGTACTGCCCCTTGCCCGGCATCGTGTATGACAGTACACAGCTGCACCCTTACTGCTAGTCACAATGACTTCACACTGACTCTCCTTTTTTCTTGTTTTATCTGCAGAGAACTTTTCAAAGTCTGAACAATTGACAGTTAAACAAGAATTTATGAACTTGTAAAGATAAAAGTAATGCTCCTTTGTTTTAAAGGTTGTGTCTCTCTCCGCCGACTCTTCATCGTATTTACATTACGCGTCTCTCTCACATGAGACTCCCTCTTTCGTCCTGGGATCTGCATCCAGCCTCTCCCTCTGCTTTCCTTCCCACGTCTCATACCGGGATCTCAAACTGACAAAATCAGATGTAGCAGCAATGTTTTACCTGCTGTATCCTGTCATAAGGAAGGAATGCAAATCTCAACAAAGACAAAATACCACTACTCTGAACAATGGGAGGTTTAATCGAACATCTATATTAAATGTCTTATTTATAGCCATTCATTTTCCACTGATTATCATCCACATGATCCACCCCATATCTTCATATTGCTCTACAGTATCATACTCAGTGGACAGTTTCAGACAAGTGGTTGATTTTTGACCTAGGTGTAGGCCTTGAATTCAATATAAGTGCAATATTTAAATTTTAATTAATTATTAAAGACAAATAATACCAATGTATAACAATATTTTCAATGTCACACTTTAATTCACTCCATTTCATAGAGGGCTGAAAAATAGCAATACTTTGATAAATATTTCAGCTAAAATGTACCTTAAGACCGTGTGTTTCAGTAATACCTTCTGTACTTCCTGGCTGATAAAGAACTCTCCTCAGTAATCAGATGTCCAAATTAATGCCAGATTAATATTCAAAGAAACCTTAATCATTTAGCATGTAACAATAAAGACTGTAGTTTCATGAAATAATTTTTTTATTCTGTTTATAAAGTAATTTGTGCTTATTACTTAATTGCAGTAGTGTATGGATAAGCACTGCCCTGGAGAGTGACTCCAGTGGAGAATTATGGTGTTTCAAATAAATCAACTAAATGACTTAAATTCATGAAAAAAAAAATAATTTAAGGATTATTACTTTTTAATAATTAAGCATTTAATAACACAAAGATTTTGATAAAGAGTGCCAAATTACATGTCACTGTGAACACTGTAAATGCGGCATCATGTCAGCCAGCCTTTCATTTCTGCAGTTTGGCGTTAATGCGTCTTGACGTAAATGCTGGCTCGTCTTGTGCACCTGCAGATGCATGATATGGGTTTTTCGCTTGTATTCCTTGTGTGTAGGGTGGACAGCATGCTGAAGCAGGTGACAGAGATCCGGGATCATGATCGCAGACTGAGGCTGTTGGAAAATGAGGTTTGACTTGGCCTTTTCCGTCTGTCTGTCAGAAACGGCTACATGTTTCAGGCCAGGCAATAGAGATCTCAACTTTCTATTCTTTACTTAAAACTGAAATTAACATTGCAGCTGCACTCTGTCTAGGCATTGTGGTAACTATATAATCGTGCTCCCCCAGCTGGATTATTGCACTAATGCCCTCTCTTGGATGGTGGAGGTGTTGTCCCAAAGCAACTTGGTCAGCATCACACGCCCACCTCCAACATTTAAAGGTAACCTGGCCTTCTCTGCTTCTTCCATGAATAACGCTGTCAATATCTTTGCTGCATCCAAAATGTATCAGTATGTCTACGCTTATATTCTAATGAGAAACTTAAAAAAAATCTCCTTTGATTTTCCTAATAAATTTCTTTCATATATTCTGCCTCCAGAGCCATCTCCTGCTTCACAAAATTAAATCTTCCTTTTTTGGAGGAAAAATCGAACAAATGGATATCTTATTGTAACCAGAAGAAATGGTGGACTCCTGTCTTAATTTTATAAACTTTTTATAAAAAAAAAAGACAGCTAAAGACATTCTTGTGCGTTGCTAAATGTCTTATTATTTTTTTTTGTCTTTTTTTTTGATCTAATGTTGTTTGTTACATGGTGGGGGGGTTGGGGAATGGGCCAAATGGCAGGTAGGCTGACCTGGGGATTATTTGATAACCTCAAACATTTTGAAATTGTTATATTGAATTGCACATAAATAGCAGTTAGGGAAAACTGTCTTTGTCATGAGTGAGAAACTGTTTTATTGTACATACATGTTTGACTCTATTAAACCACTGTGGAAGTTGCCTGTTGTTTGTTTGTATAACAAGGATTGGGGATGACAGAAGAGTTCAGCATTATGTATTCTTACATAAGCCTTTCAAATGAGTTGTTTGCATGTAGCGTAGCCTGGTTCCATCTTCTTTACTGTTTTTTCTTCAATATTTTCACATATGCCCTCTTTAGAGAACTGGGCACATTTTTTGGAGGTCAAGGTCTCTGTTCTTTGTGTCTCATGATCAACGTTGGTGTGGAACACATGGGCAAAGAATGAATGACGTAATAGTGGATCATGCTAGAGAGTGTGACTCATTAGGGCCTTGTGCATGTGGACACTTTATTTTAACGTTAACGTCTTAAATGGAGGTAATTGGTCTGTCCTTATTTGGGGAGTTAAATGGTTTTTGCTTGTAATTATTATGAAGTGGGTAAGTGAAAATTAGTATTGAAACAATTAGTGTGAATAATGTATAGTGTGTAAAAGGCCACACAAACACAGGACTAAACCAAAAAAATCAACACCAGGAAAGGGGGCTGTAATAGAATTGGTTTAGAGGACAATTGAAAGGGCAGAGTTTCAGTGGTAAGAAAATAGACAGTTCACATTTCACTGGCACTGTTGGAGAGGCAGGGTGGTTTATAATAGAGCTTCTGCCCCCCTGCCTGCCCCCCTTGCTCATATGCACCTATTTCAGAAGTGGGGGGTTGAGGAGTGGAGTGTTAACTCAGCTGGCTGGTACCAGTACAGTTTGTACAAGTATCACTATGCATGGAAGTGTATTTCTGTTTCTATACATGCCATCTGTTTGTGTTAGGCTGCATGTGTATGTGGGTTATGTATATATTACATTGTGGGGACCAAAAAACTGTCATTTTGACATTATGAGGACCATTTTTTTGGTCCCCACAAGGGGAAGGCAAATCTTATAAAAATCTATAAATGTCAAAAGTCTTGTATTTTGTTTGGTTACCTAGGGTTAAGGGTAGGGGTTAAGGTAATCATTGTTGGGATTAGGGTTTTTTCTGTAGAGATGAATGGACGGTGTGTGTGTATGCGTGTGCGTACATGCCTGCTTGCGTGTTTGCCTTACAATAGTGGTCATTATTATAAGGTGTCATTATTATACATTTTTTTTGCTTGGTTGTTTACCTGTGAAGGGAATCTTGACATACTTTCAGAAGTCTTACCAGGTTGAATCAAGTTTGATGACTCAAAGACTAGTGCCTCACTTGATTCAAATGTTAGCATTAACCCTTGCCTCATAATGCTGTGTCGTAGCTTGGAATTTATGACATCACACTTAGATCTGGAATGGAATCTAGTGTTTAGGTAGATTAGGTCACAGTGCCATTTAATTGTGACTATTATTAGACCCCCACAGATGTGAAATGGACTGGAAAGAGGGTGTTTTTCATTTTATATGAGCATTTTTCTTAGACTACAGACACTTATTCTTAGCAGTTATAGTCCTATATCAATGAAGGTTAACTAAATGTACTTTTATCAGTTAAAACATATATAAAGTAAATTTTCTCGTTTAAAAAAATATATTAAATTCGTATATGTTTATGCACTGTGATGGGGCTGTTTTGGCACAGTAACATTTCACTGCTATTGTACTGTACAATTGTACATGTGACCCACAAAAGCTTGAACCTTGAATGGTAAAATGTTTCCTTCCCTGTATAAACATACCTCTGTCTCCTTCCCTCACCCTCCTGCAAAATGCAGCCTCCACGTCCTTCCATATATTCCAATCCACTGAATTAAACAACACAACTGCTTAATACCTTCAGGTCTTTCGCCTGTCTTCTCTCTCTTCTCTGTCCTCACCTAGAAGGGTGAAGGTCAGCATAAGCGTAGTTATTTGCATTTGTTGCTGTCAGTCACCCAAACTGCACCGCCCACCCAGTTTTGCCTGCTGTCTTTATTATATTGGCTTTGTGTTCTGGACTAGTTATCATTGTCTTTTCTTAAACTTGTTTTTTCTCGTAATGAGATATTTCTCAGTAAGAGAAAATAGTCCAGTTTTTTAATTAATGCAGTAGTTTTTGCTTCAAAGACAGGAGATAATCGTCAACACGTTCTTGGACTGCTGGACTTTGTTCTTGAAAATTCAGGCTTCTGGAATTCTGGTTCTTTAACTGGTTGAGCTGACACCCTGCATGAGATCAGTAGTGGTGAATTTCTCTTTCTCCCTTTCAGCTAATATCTTTACCTTAGTCAGAGATGATGACTTGGCTTTTGCTTGCACTTCTGTGTTCCATCCAAATACCACTGGCTCCAGGTGTCATGGCACAAGACGAAGAACAAAGCAATTACCAGCATGACAGTGCAGATGAAAATGTGGAATATGCATATGGTGCCGATGAGGATGATGAGGTGGGTGACAGCAAAGCAAAAAGAATCACTGAGGATGACATTGAGAGTGATGATCAAGATGATCATCTTGAATATAATCATGGTGAGAGTGATGATCATGATGATAATTATGATGAAGATAGCAGTGATGAGGAATACGCTGCAAATGATGATAGCAGTGATAACGATCCGGATGACAGTGATGAACCTGACAGTAAAGAGAATGATGATGATGATAATGATCATCACAGTGATAATATAGATAACAATGATGAACCTGATGACAGAGCGGATAATAATGATCTAGATGACAGTTATGAATCTGATGACACAGAGGATAATGATGATGATGAAAATGAGGATCACACTGATAATCTGGAAGACAGTGATGAACCTGATGACAGAGTGGATGATGATGATAATCTAGATGACAGTTATGAATCTGATGACAGAGAGGATAATGATGATGATGAAGATGAGGATCACACTGATAATCTGGATGACAGTGATGAACCTGATGACAGAGAGGAGGATGATGATGACCACACTGATAACAATCTGGATATTGGAGATGAAACTAATGTCAGAGGGGACAATGATGACAACGATAAAGATGATGATGTTGATCACAGTGATAACAATCTGGATGACAGTGATGAACTTGATGACAGAGAGGATAATGATGATAATGATGATGATCATGATCTAGATGACGGTTATGAACCTGATGACAGAGAGGATAATAATGACGATGATGATGATGATGATCACAGTGATAATCTGGGTGACAGTGATGAACCTGATGACAGAGAGAATAATGACGATGATGATTATCACAGTGATAATGATCTAGAAGAGCATGAGAAAGATGGAAATGATGATGGGACTGATAACATCACAGATGAACATCAAAATACAGATGGCCGTGATGACAGCAGTAATGAAGAAGGTGATGCCACCAGTGATAGAGATGATTCTACTAACAGAGATGACCATGAACAGCACCAAGAAGGTAATTTTATTACTAAGCTCGTAAAAATAATTCTGAAAAATACGTTTTTAGAATGAGCAACACAATTGCTACACTCAATGTTTAAACAATTCTTAGCATTATTTACTTTTGTCTAATACCCAAACAAAGCAATTAAAGAAAATATTTCAGCAAATATCAAATACACAATTGATTTTAATAAAAATAGGGATTGGATAGGTCTATTTTAGTATAGTGCCAGATCAGAGTGTGATTTATGTCACACAATCGCCCATTGAACACTGAAGTTCAGCAGCCTTCTTGTGCCAGAATGACAGGAAGTCAGAGAGTATTAGACATACTGCTATCTTTGTTCAGTACAAAAACAGGGAGAGAATGGAGCAGTAGGAAACACAAGCAGTCAGGAACGCATGTTCCCAGGCGTGCTGGGCTGCATTGCACCATGTCATGTGCTAACCGTGCACCATGTTTATCTGACAATTGCGCTGCCAAATTACAGTCTGGAAAAAATGCATCTGCACTAATTTTTTCAGCTCTCCATAGTGACGATCAAGACAATGGAGAGGACAATGGTGTGCATGGACACTATCAGGAGGGATCTATTTGTAGCTACTGTTCGCTCTGTAAGGTATAATGTGTTAATCTCACCCAGTAAATGGCTCCATCTTGCTTTGTCAGTCATTCAGAGTAATGCAGTTGTCAGAGCGGGCCGTATAGTCTGACACTATGCCTCCCCCCATGCAATGCAGAGTAGTATCTGCAGGAAATGCATATAACACTTTCTTGTCAAAGTGAAAGGAGGATGATTCTTTGCGAATAATACATAAGTTATCGCCTGCATATAATACATACATTAATGGACACTAATTTAATAATAAAACAAATACATTATTGTATCTATTTGGCTGTTTTTCCCAAAGAATCCAATGGGATAATCCATTCTACTGTAGTAACTGCTTATAATAAATAGGGATCACCAAGAATCAGTTGGCTTCTATGGTACAAAAATGGCATAAAACAAGAGCTAATATGAGTGTGTGACTTCAAAATGCTCTATATTTTTTTACATTCCAATTATTTAGGAGATGCCTTTGTTTAAAGTTACATACATGTGAGGATTAGAGAGCAGTGTGCCTGGAGAAATTGTGGTTAAGGGCCCAATGGTGATATTACTCTGCTGGCCATGGGATTTGAACAAACAGCTTCCTATTCACAAGCACAGAGTCCTAACCCACAGAGCCGATTTCTACCCTCAGTCTTTAGATATGCTCCCAAATTCTGCATGTCCAAATGTGACTTGTTGATCCTATAGCTATGTGGAAAGTATGTGAGAACAGCTGCAGGTTCAGAAAGAATTATTCATCCATCTTACAATTGGTAATCTAGAGTAGGGCTGCAGGGGGCCTGAAGTCTCTTCCAAGTACAGCCAGAACATGCAGTTAGACCAGTGTTTCTCAGTCCGGCCCTCAGTGACCCCCATGTTTTTGGTCCCTCCCCACTGCCTACCTACCAGGAGCTGGGAGCGAGCAAAAACGTGGCCTATCTGGGGCTCCCTGAAGACCAGGTTGAGAATCAGACTAATTGGTTTCTCTAAATGGTCTGTAGCATGTGTGCGCCCTATGATAGACTGGCAATCCATCCAGGCTGTCCCTGTTTTACATGCATTTGGCTGTTTAAGATAGAACTCTGACCAGGATAAGTGGATGGATGGATGGATTTTTTATACCAAAATGACCAGTAGCTAGTTATGAAATCACATTTACTGTTATTTTGCACAAACACTGCATTGACTCTGTCTCTATGCTATCCTCCACTTAGCACTGTGATGTCTGTAATAAATGCCCATGTGAAGATGGAGACGACTCAGAGCACTGCAAACACTGCCAGGTAAGCTTGCTGCAAGGTGTATGCCCATGTCAAGCTCGAACATCAGAGCACATTCAAGGCTTTAAATTTATGCTATTTTAATGTCTCTTAAAATCTGTTTTTCGATTACAGTCATGTTACTTCTGCCAAGCTTGTCCTTTAATATGTGAGACAATTTGTGAACCCGGTAAGCTGACAGAATTCTATATCTGGCCCTGTGATTGGACTGTATAGCTAATTAAATATTTATGTTTATTTCAGGGGGCTACATTGATGAATTGTCTAGATCGCTCTACCAGTAAGAATCATTTATCCTCAAACCTTGCACAAGGTATAAGTTAGTGTTTGTATGATTAATTGTCACCTTCCTCATCTTTGTGCAGGACAATAGCTAAAGCTTAGGAGCGGCCTGGACACCGAACCCCAATCGTCACTGTATGACTGAAGAAAAAAACACATACTCTCATCCTGGGAATTTTATTAATGATCATTAAAATAAATTCAGGGTTTGGCACTTTGCATAGTTTTTCTGATGTCAATGCAGTTAAATGAGAATTTGTGACAAAAAAAAGTATTTTCCTGTTGAACAAAGCAGCCAACTGTGGTTTCAGAAGCAACAGACTATAAAATATAATTGATTATAATGTAATTCTGATTACTTTGGTAATAAATGGTGTGAAGTGGCTGTGATTAAGATGGTATACAGGGAAGCACACAAAATGTAAGGATTAACATTTATTTAAAAACTTCAGTGCAGAACCTGGCATTGCTTCCTCATAGGCAGTCCATTTACTTTCTATAAAGCAATATACACATATCAAACAGTAAGTAAAGTTGTCAGAAAAGTTTCTGTTTAAATGCCATGATTAAAAACTGCCATGTACTGTACCGCATAGTGAAACTTCAGTGAACACCCAGATGAATAACCAGAACAGATCCAGCTTTGGTAAAAAATCTTTTTTGTTTTTTGGAAATATGGATGTCATATTAACTTGTATGAATATAGCTCACTTTAGAATACAGTGCACATAGTTTGATACTGGAACAGGTTATAGAAGCATGTGGAAAGCTTTCACCAACACAGAAAATGTACTAAATAAAAGTGGGAATCATTTTTATTTCACTTTATAGGCAACCTTACAAACTGCATAGGCCAGTAAGCCTGTACGTTAATGAAGTAGAATTTGCTTTGAGATGTGCTAAACTAAAATAATTTTTGTAATGAGATCAATTTATATCACATAGAAATAACATTTGTCTGAATGCCTGATTAACACACAAAAGGTCAATAAGTTGAGGCTTTGCCATATATTTCTGGAAAAACGTATGCAAACACCTAAAAGAATATCACATAGCTTTGCAAAATTACTCTTACCTCAAATCACTGTAATACTTATCAAGCATTTTGCATAAATGTTAAAAAAGAACACAAATGACTTGGTGTTCCCATAAGAGATCTGTAAATGGCTCTTTTGTGGAGATGTTGGTACAACTAATGAAAACATGCATTGTTTCAGTCAGTTTGTACTTGTGTTGCATGGCATTTGATTATTTTTAGGTGTTTTGTGAGACAGGCAAAAGACAATGTGTGAAGAAATTGAAACACAAATATACAACCACCTCTTCACTAAATTACAACTGGTACAAAATGATAAAAGAATGAGATTTTGCTTTCCTATCTCATAAGAAAAATGACAAAAATATGTACATATAAGTCACATCCGTATTAACTTCACCCCTTCTTTGCCAAACTAACTTCCTCTTCACACTTGCATCACAGGGCGTGACTCTTTGGCAGTAAGGTCAATTCCAGACCCAGAAAAGCCAGTCCCACCCTAAGAGAGAGAGAGTGATGAGGAATGAGTGGAAAGGATTGAAAGGCATGAGGTGAAGTAAAACATACTTTTAATCTGATACTACAAGGCAGTAATGATGCAAAAAGAGACCTTTGTCTTCTTGAACATAGCTTGCTGGAATTTGGCTGCAGTTTCCATTTTTATCCACTAGATGTGCAAATGCATAAGATCTCTCACCCTCTGCAGAGGTATGATGTCCTTCTCCTTAAGCTTTTCACCATTTATTGGATCCACCATATCCTTTCTTATCAGTCGCTCCACACATTCCATTGTTACCACCACCCCACTGAAAAAATGAGGGGGAAAAAGAAAACAATAAGCCAAAATATATAAATCGAATCCTTTCATATAAATTATAAACAGATCGCATACTCACGAAGGCCTCAGCACCGCACATGGTACAGAGTTTCCAAGCATGTCTTTGGTTACAGCACATACATACCGGTCCTAGAACAACACAGCTGATAGTTAGCATCAATGGAATGGACTACACAGAATCAATCTAAAGTTTGTCAATAAGCCACAAATTTAGTACAATTGTGTACCAGTATGTACAGAAACTGGAAATGGGAAGGTTAAAAAACAAAAAAGTCAGCAGGCATATATACCTGCCGAGTAAGAAGGGCCACTCTGTCGAGAGAAGGGTCCATAGGCGTGAATTTCACAGGAATCAGTTCATTCATCTTGAGAGGCCGACCAGACATGGGGCACAGCACTGTCTTGACCTGAACCAAAACGACAAATGCGAGGGCATGTGGTCAAGGCTTTGGTGGTACACAAGCATTTCCATGTTTTCTTAAGCTTCCTGTGATATATATGTGACTTGTTATTCAGAAACTGTAGCAATTCATGTATATAGAAGAGAAAGAAGATTGTATCTGTCTAGTAAATAAAGCAGTAAAGCAGCGGCAGTGTGAGGGCCATCTACATTGACTGACAGGCTTTTTAAGCATGGTTGGCTTTGCTTCTGGTGTCAGACTGGGGATCCAGAAACTTGGCAATGCAGATTTGGTGCTGGATCCATCAGAGGCAGCACTGTTACTGGGCCCATTTGTAGAGCCACTCGGTCCACTCTGAACTCCCGAATCCTTGGACTGCCCTGGGGGGAGGGAGAGAGAAACATAATAACCTACAATGATGAGACTGAAAAAAAAAATACAGAACAACCAGAGTAAATCCTCTGACACTTCACACTTTCTTACCCAACAATCATTCCCAAACTCATTCTTATACTGACATAATGCAATAACTTCACCTCCAGTAAAAGGATTTATAGGTTTGGAAACGATGCTGTTCTCTCTCGTCTTGAACTTCTCTGCTCTTTCCCTCTCCTCTGACTGTGACTCCAGCAGATTTTCATTCTTCTGTGCCTTCTTCTGTTTTTCGTAGGCCTAAGATGAGAGACAATGGCTCTTAACATTACATGAATGGAATCAAATTCATATGTAGTATGCAAGTACATATAGTGCTACAATAAACAGAGCAGAACACCGCATTTTTACAAACCTTCATTTTTTTGGCAATTTCAGTCTTTTGGTGTAGAATATATTCCAGGATGGCTTCTTTTTCATACATATAGCCATCGGGGCTGAAATGTGGGAAATGCATTGACGTTTAACAATTCTTATATAAACTTAAATCTCTAGCTGGTATTGCAGAAACTTTCTTATTCTCAAGACTACCGTAAGACTCACGTTACGACGGGATTTCTGCACGGCTGAAGGGATAGGCAGCAGCAATCGAAATCCTTGATGGCGTCCTTGCCCAGGCGAACGCTCTGTGTACCATAGCCAGATGCGGCTGGGAGATTGGGAAGGAAAAAAAGAAACGAATACAGGAAACTGAGTAGCTCAAGAGAACATGAATGTTCTACATTAAACACTGATGAAGTGCTCACCCGTATCCTTTTTCTTTTCATGGTAGGTGTACACAGCGCCTGCCGTGCAGTTTTTCCCATGTCGGGTCATCGTTATGCGTCAACTGAGGTAAAAACAAAAACACTACAAATATTAGTCCCTATTATCTCCCCGTGGCACTGATACAAAACACAATATGGACATTAATGTGATAATCGTTATTATATCGAAAAGGGTTACCCAGAAAAAAAAAACAGTCACTACGATGCGAGCGTACGTCTTCTCCCTAAGCGTACTGCAAAAATATGTGCAACTGCAAATACTTCCGTCGACACAGCGACCCTTAAAAAATGTTCCGCAACAAAGCCCGAAACGGATTAGAAACATTATCCATAGTTTATCAAGTTATTTTTTAATTAATTAAAAATAAATTAAACTATAAGTGCAATCCACATAAATATTTCGTCTTTAAATATACTTTTCTAAAAAAGTATTATTATATTTATTAAACAATTATATGCTTATTTTTGTGGAGAACCCATAAACACATAAGAAATCTAATATAATCTAATGCTATAGTTAAAAACCGATATGGAAAGCGATTTACACCGAGCCTTGGTCAGCGGTAGTAGGCACGGACAGAAAATAGAAAAATGATATGCTAGTCCTTCTTAGTCTTCTCATTTTAGTAAATGCTGCGTATATGTGATGCTGCCACCTATAGCATCGGATGTTTAACGACAAGGTTTTTTTTTTCGGCACAATTTTCATTCTTTTTCCGAGGAAAAGGAAGCTACACCTACACATGGCAGTGACGTGAAAGGGTTAGACATCTTTAGACTATCATCTGTGTATAAACAATAATTCAGCAGTGTGTGAAAAGGACTTTACATTTATATTCACCAGGTATAGGCTGTGCCACCAGCCAGGTGGCTAGGATTCTCTAAATCTTTCTAAAGCAGGCATAGGCAATTATTTTCTGTGGAGGGCCAAATCCAGGCTTCACCATATCAGCAGGGGCCATTTTTAATGATTATTTTCATGTCCTATGAAAGCTACAATAGAAGACTTGTTCTTTTTTTGGAGAGGCTCATTTTTGCGTGCCAGTATTGAAGTAGTAGATGTATTTGTCATTATTCATGGGACTTTACCTGTTATTTTTTTCTTCTTCATTTTAATGATGGCACGGGCCAGTAAAAATAGCCAGCTTCTCCCCAGGTCCGTTCTCAAGCGATTTAGTGTTATTACTTTCAGGGCCTATACTTGTTACATAACACACAGGAATTGTTTGTAAAAGTTTCATTTAGTTCATTGTGAGAGAGTTCCTACTGTATTAGATTTAGGTCACAAGAGATGTTGTGGCACATGACCAGTGATAGAAGACTAAAAACAGACAAAAAGTAAAAAAATAAAAATAAAAATGTGCTGTCATTTCATTTTGGGCACCACACATTGCGAAGAAGTGCTGTACTCTGCTTGGGAAAGGGAAGCTCTGAGCCTGCATATAGGACATTAAAGTAATGCTCCTAGATCACACAGGCTGCTTGGTTAGCAGCAAGGTTGTACTCCTCACCTTCCCTATACGACTACTTGCTTGATAAGCTTCCTCAATGTGAACATTCCCCTGTGGGAATGTGCAGTGAGTCGTACGGTTCCCCAAAGCACCAGCACTTCCTCTTAGTGACATGTGTGCTTCATGCTGAGTGGCCAGAGGTGACACCTTTGGGCTGTTATTGACATTCTACAGCTACTCTTTGTCACCAATGGCAGCCTTGAGTCATCAGTGCTTGAAAATGGGCTCAAATTCACCTCAGGAGAGGACTCCACATTCCTACAGCTGTAGGGTTTAGCATATAGTGTTCCACCACCCACAAGCTAACAGAGATTTCAAACAGAGCCTAAAACATGGTATCCCTGCTCATCTGGCTCAAGGGGTACCCTCCAGACATCCATGCTGCAAACCCCGTTCGCACAGCAGGACAACTCCGCACTCCAGCTCTGGTCTGTCCACACTGTCTCTTATAATTGGCTGAGAGCTACAGGCGCCCTTGGATTTATGTCTCTCCCCCCCCGGCGGGGGGGTGGAACTTTGAGGTTGCAGCAGTGCATGACACAACTATATAACAAAGCACAAAAAATGTCACCCATTCAGGTCTCAGATTAGGTGAAGGCTAGAAAACCTTATCGTTACAACACGAGCTGCCCAGGGGTAGCCAGTTGGCGTTGGAGTTTTTTTTTCCCTATACCTACTTTAAGAGCTTTTTTCCATGCCAGCTTTGAAAACTGTGTAATGTTATTTACAAAGCCCATAAAGAATGGTACAGTGTACCACTCTTCTACGCAAGTCATCAAATCACTGCAAGTTTTATACTTTTACTATTTTATTTCACTTTAATATGGAAATGTAAGATATATTTTCCCTCTTCGTGACTTATCCAGAGTTTTTAAGTTTTTTAAGGTTTTTGTCTTTCAATGCAGTTGCCTTAGGGTGCTTAACATACAAAGCAGGAAAACCTTGCAAATAAAAAGAACATTTATATGAAAACATGGTACATGGTACATAGAATGGCCTTTTCTTTCCTGTAGAATATAGCCACAATCAGAAAGATGCTGTACAGAAAAACTGGTCAATGAATTTGTAACTTCAACATTATATTACTGTAATATGCCATGACCTTGAACAGGATATACCAGGATTAGAACATGCATAGATTTATTATAGCAATACACTTCTTCTATACAACTGTTCAAAAGCTTTGCCAAGGTATCTCCAACTAGTAAGGAATAAAGCTGAATGCTATTTCAAAATACACCCTTCTTTTAATAGTGTAATGAATTCAGTGTGTCCAGCATATTGGTACATTTTAGGGTGATTAAAAGGTACACACATCACACACCCACACATTGAAAAAACTCATGGGTTAATATGGCTATGACTTAATAACTGTTGGACCACATTTAAGTATGAGCTGAGAAAGAATTCTGATCTAGTGAAAAAAGAGTCAGTCATAGTTCCAAAGCTTAAATTTCAATATGTGACATTTTAACAGCCTGTGTGACCCTTTTACCTCCCATTACTGCTTTGTCCACTTCTATCACAGTGAATGGACATTGAATTTAGCGATTTAGTACTGCTGAATAGATTAAGTGTGTAACCAACTCTAAATATCGTCCTGATTAATATTCAATTGGTCGTTAGACTGTTGATTTATTATCCACTACGGACATATTAATGAGACCCTAATGTAGTCAGACAGTACGAGCGCGGGCGCAAATGTATTTAGACTATATGAGTGAAAAGGTGCCACCATTTCCATATAAATTTATATCAATGTTTCCACAGATTTTTGATTATGGCAGGAGAGGTATAGTTGTTTCTCAAGCATTTCCAGATGTATTGCTGTACCCCTGAGTAAGATACATATGACTGGAATCGCTGCATATCAACCTACTGTATACGGGCACCACTGTAAGTTACGTAAACTGATAAAAGTCTTCTATATAGAAAATAAACACCACCCACAGCGCTAGATCTACACCCACAGCAGTACTATATGAGGATAGCAAAATGATATTCAGTTATTTTTATTACTATTCCTACCGGTACTGTTATTTATTTTTATTGTTCATTTTCTGTCTTCAGCGTTTGCTATTTTTTTTTCCATTTTACACTTTCTCCCCAGGTTATACCACAGTACATAGATTTGACATAATAATAATAATAATAATAATAATAATAATAATAATAATAATAATAATTCAATCTATTTACAATTATATGCTTATGATCACTTATCTAATCTGACATACAGTATACCAGTATGAAAACGATTCATTCCATTAAACGGTATTTAAAAACACGATAAATGTATAAAATAAACACACACACACACACACACGGACACAGTTTGAAAGGCCTGACTACAATAATTGCAATTAAAACCAAGTCACTGTAACACTGCTATGTCAAAATCTCACAGACCATTTATTATGTGATTAAGCGCGGAAAATGTTTTCCGTCAATAAAATAAGTGCGTTTCAAAAGGTAACTATCCGCCATGTCAAACGGGCGCACACACCGTGGGCTTAATTTTAACTACCGCATATAAACACAATTTAACTGAATGTATGCTTACATAAAGGATATCGTGGTCGGCTTTCAGGGCATACAGGCAGCAATAATATATAGCTTACAGTATATAAAGCCACATAAGTCACATGAAAATGAAATTAAAAAAAAACTTTTATCCTCGTCTCCTTCATCTGCTCTGTTCTCTTGGGCTGATAGTAAACACCGGTTACGGCCTCAAGCTCGATTTAAATAAACCACGCCATAATGTCGTAAAACGAAATGTCCTTTGCGCAATAAACACCTTAAAGCAGCAACTTTAACAATCAAGTATATGAATGAATGAATGAATGCCTTTTATTGTCACTATACAAATGTATAATGAGATTAAGAGCAACATCTTCAGTGCAAACATGTACACACGACAAACAATAAACAGATAGTGCAAAAGTTTTGTAGCGCTATATACAATTGGAATAAATAACTGAATAGGGTTTTTAAATATATGAATATCCAATGTGATATTCTGTGTATTAGATGGTAATAATGATCATAATGATGTAGTAAATATAATATGATTAGAACTAATGTCAAGGAAATCCGTGTAACTATAAGTTTACCACATCCTGAGTTTGGTCGAATTTTTTACTTAAAATGTAAGAGCAGAAAACTTCCGCTGTTTACTGTACCTGCCTTTTAATGAAGTATTCAAGAAAGAAGTCGAACCTTTATATGTATTACACAAATCACAGACATGGTGCGCCGTGTAAATACCGTGGGGATTTTTTTACTCGTCGAATTGTGTTAGATATCAGAAATGTAACTTAAGAAGAATCGATATAGAACGACGTGATGCCAAAGACAAAAAAAAAAAAAACAGGGTCACGTGTATGGGCGTAAGCCAATCATTTTACCGAAACACTATCCTATTATCACTTTTAATTAAACTACTGTATTTATTTTACAGATTAGTTTTGCTACTCTTTTTTTACTGATTACGTTTATCGTGGGAAGTATGGTATCGCTCAGTTCTAGCTAGATGACTTTGATGATGAGATACTAGACTTAAATATACAAGGAAAATCTTCAGTACGCTTGCTTTAATATATAGTCATTTTCTTATGAAATGCTGCATCCATCAGTTACTTATTACAACGTTCATTATTTTTTCTGAAAAAAATATGTAGACAGTTCAGCATTGCTCCATTACTTTTGCTATTTCAGTTTAAGTAACATCTTAAAAACCGATTTTGTGTTATTACTTTAAGTCATATATATCCTGTTTCCAAGTTCTGTTTTTGCCATTCAGCGCTCCAGCGCTGGCGTATGTTTCCATCGAAACAGCCTTATTTCGCAAATTTAAAAACTACAACTTAAGGCAATTCGTGTTGCATCGGCACCTCCTGAACCGCCAGCCCTCTCATCCTGCCGGGCTCCCCTTTCATCCCCTATGTCCCTCTCCACCTTCTTGTCTGTGCGTGTGTGCTCCATAGTCTACCCCCCCCAACACTCCTCCACCAGCACCCACCCCCCCTTGCCTCAGGCACTGCATCCAGCTGCACGGAGCAATTGAAGGTGACAGGGGCAGGGAGTGAGAGAGGGAGGCATGGCGGGAGGACGCGTCACAGTGTCACCTGGGGCTACACAACAGTGGAGAGAGCAAGGGAGAGAAAGAGGGAGAGGAGAGAAGAGACAAAGGTTGGGGGCTAAGCAAGCGCCTTGCTAATTTGAAACAAGAGGAAGGAGGAAGAAACTTGAGAGAGGCACACAGACTGGAGATTGTCAGAGACTATATTTACCATAGCGATATATATATTTCCATTTATATTGTCTATATGTGCTGTCACTGCTATTCTTCATACATTGGCCACCCTTTAAGCAAATTCATTTTGCCCCCTC